AAAAAAAAAAAAAAAAAAAAAAAAAAAAAAAAAAAAAAAAAAAAAAAAGAATTCCTCAAAACAGAAGAACAATCAAAACATGGGAAACTGAAATGAACAACACTTCTCAGAAGAAGTACAGATGGCCAAGAAATACATAAAAAATGTTCAACATCCCTGGTCTTTACAGAAACGTAAATTAAAATAAAACTGAGATTCCATCTTACTCCAGAAAAAATGGCTATATTCACAAAATCAAATAAATTTCAGTGAGACTGCAGGGAAAAAGAAATCCTGATACATTTTTGGTATGAATGTAAACTAGTACAATTATTATGGAAATTAACAGGGAGATTCCTCAAAACACTAAAACTAGAAATTCCATTTGACCAAGCTATTCCTCTTCTAGTTATTTTCCTCAAATAAAGACATAATATCATAGTGATACATGCATAATCATTTTTATAGCAGCACAATTCATAACAACTAAATTTTGGAAGCAGCTTGTATGTCCATCAATAGATGAGCTGATTAAAAAAAATGTATTTATACACAATAGAGGACTACTCTGCTATATAAGATAAATGAGCCACTTTTAGGAAAGTGATGCACCTTGAAATTAAACCATAAGTGAAATAAATTAGACACACAAGCCTAAATATTGCATGTTTCCTCTTACATGAGAAACCCAAAGTGTAAGTAAAGTAAAGAGCAAAATAAAAGACAGATAGTAAGAAACAGACAGATCTTTCGCAAATGGGAAGAGGAATAAGAGATAGACGGAGGAGGGAGGAAGAAGGAAGGGGAAAGGAGGAGGATGTAAAAAGAATTAAGATGTGTTAGGCACATGTGCCAACTCCTCATGATGAATGTATTCATTTTCAATACATGTACTGATAAAATTTTTAAAAATTTTTGAGAATAAAAAATAAATCATCATTATACCAATGTAGTAGCTAAAAATTATAAAACAGTTCCAAAGAAATATTTTAGATTCAATTTAGTGTAGTTAAAGTGACTTGTACTGTACCTTCGGAACCACTGGCTGTATCCAGGTCGGAGGGCCCTCCCACTGGTTGCTCAGCCATTCCTTCAGGTGGAGTAGGCAACTGTAGATGGGTAGAACTGGTGGAGCTCTGGCTGGACAGTGTTGTCAAAAAGCGATCCTCTAAAGAAAGGCACAGTCTTATATCAGTAAGGTAAAAACAGTAAATCCATTTCTACTTCATATCAATGTTTTTAAAATTCCAACTCATATTTCTACTTCCTGAAACACATAATTTGTTATTTAAAATCAATCTACATCAAGTAGCTCATGTCACAGAAACAGACACAAAAATTGAGAGCGATTATATCACTTGATCACAATCAAATCCTGATGGCACTACTATGACTATCAACTAATTCTGACAGGCTAATCTAATACTGTTCTCACTGAACCACAATGTCTACCTATTAGTCACATTAACAGAGGATGAACATAGGACACAATGGAAAAAATGATATGCTTATGCTGGGGAGGAAAATAAATAAATTATAATTATTACAGGAAAGTATCAATTATGAATTGAGCTCTTGCTCAATTCTGTTTACATTTTCCTATAAGGTTTCTACAATAAATTATTCATTGAAATACTGTGAAAGACATCTTAAGCCTCAAAATGATTTTAGTAACACCAAAAATATAAATTAAATAAGGCTTTTGTATGACACATGACTTTGGAATAAGACAGAAAATTAATATTCTTTTTTTCTGTTTCTTCTTTCCTAACAGCAGCCTTCTCTAATATTATATGTATTTTTATATCCTAATTTATCTTTTAAAAATATACTGCATGATCACCTTAAGCTGATAAGGTTATAAATGTTCTTCAAGAAAGAAAACAAGGTCTATGAATAATTGCATCAGGAAAAAAATGCTCAAAATGAGCAGTTCAAAACAACTTATACAGTAAAATCTAATGTGAAGAGATCAGCAGAGTCAATGACCAACCCTTTTCTCCATTTTGAAGTCCCGGAGAAATATTTCGTGGTGATGCATCCATTCCACTTATCTGTAGAGAAATAAGTATTTCATTATTAAGGAAATGTTCAAATTATACTTTTTAAAATTGTCTAACCCAGTGAATCTTAAATCTTTTGGTCTCAGGACCTGTTTATACTCTTAAAAATTACTACAAGTTCCCTTAATAACTTAAAGTAGATTTTAACTTATTTGAAATATTTAAGTTATGAGAAATTAAACCTGAAAACATTTTAAAATATGCACCTATTAATTCATTTAAAAATAAAACTTATATATTAACATGATTATAATCAATTATAGAAAAAATATCTATTCTCCAAAATCTAAAATAAAATGGATAAGAAGTAAATTGTTTTATATTTTTACAAAGTTCTTTAATGTTACAGATGACAGCTAGGAAATCTGTATCTGCAATCAATATGCTGCAATATAGCTGTGATTAAAGTTCTGGCTTCATATAGATATAGTTAGGAAAACAGAAAAATCTGTAGAATCTACAAAAGAACAATGCACCCTCAGGAGTTCTTGAACCACACTTTGAGATTATCATTCTAAATAGTAGCTCATTTCTTGGCATGAAAGCATTTAGGAATACTTAAGATTATCCATTAAGGCTAGCAATTTTTTATTATCACTGAGCCTACTCAAGTTCCACTATCTAGGCATAAGATGTATTTAAAATGACTCTCAGCCTCATATAAAATTTTTTTCAAGGTCATTTCTTAGGTCACTGATTAAAGGTTACCACATGACAGAAACACACCCGAGGAATTTTACATAAAATAACCCACCACAACCACCTCCTAATTCTTATCAAAACAATCTCCCTTATCTTTTTTCTTTATACCTTATTACACTTGTTAAATGATTTTGGATTCCAATACTTATGATCCGTTTCCTTGCTAAACAAATATTTAATGAAAACAGTAACTATTATCTCTGTTTACAAATGCATGCCTTATAATAAGCTACAGAAGTGCCCAACACATAATCAGCACCCAAGAACTATTTATCAAGTGAATAAATACAAAGGTGGTACAACAAAATTTCAAATCAATTATCAATCTTTCATAAAGATGACTGCCTTCTGAGTCATCTTATATTTTCAATTCTGTTTCTAAATGCTATAATCTAAAGGTTTTATACCATTAGCTTTCTAGTATCTTTAGTGGGCAAACAGAAAGGCCACCATTTATCTATGCTAGTCAAAAACTTGGACTAGTTGACAAATGCTAGCAAACACCTTAAACTTATTCTTGCTCTCACCTAAAACTTTAAGGAAACATGATTCTCACAGTGAGAGACAAAAGAGAAGAATCATTATCAATTACTAAGTAACAAAAACATTTTAAGAATTTAGATCCATCATCCAATGAAAATATTCCTCAACAAATACCACACCCTGTAAAAAAAGAAAATACTGCCTCAAAAGCTTTTTCAATTTAACATTAAGGCCCTTACACATCAAATCATGTGAAATTTGGCCAGTGTGACAGAATTCTAAAATGGCCCCAAAACTCCCAGCCCTCACTGTAAACACAACTTCTCCCAATTACTCAATCAAACACTAACACAGGTATTGCTGTGAAGGGATCTGTACATGTAATTATGGTCATGGATCAGTTACCCTCAAGAGGGAAAAAAATCCAAGCAGCCTTGATGTAATTATCTGAGTCTTAAAATCTGTGTCCATAAATCAGAGGAAGGTAAGTGATTGTAACCACAAGAGGGATGTTTCAAGGTTTGAAGATGGAGAAGATTGCAGCACAAGGAACACGGCCAGCATCTTAGGGGTTAGGAAGGACCTATGGTCTATAGACACCAACAGAAAGAGAAGTCAATCCTATTACTACTAGGAACTGGATTCTGCCATTAACCCTGGAAGAAGACCTTGAGCCACAAATAACAAAGAATTCCTGCCCCAATCCTTGATTTTAGCTCTGAGAGATTCTGAGCAGAGATCCCAACTATACAAGCCAGATCTCAGCTCACAGAAACTCTTCAATAACAAATCCATGTTTTTGGACACTGTGTGGAACAGTAATCTCTTACTAAGCAAGAGAAAACTAACACAGTTGGGATAGAGCAATTAGGCCAACTTACCTGGTCCAGACACTTTAGTAAGAGCTTTTCATTTAAGCAAAAGAACACCCAAAGCTGCACAGTAAGATAAACTAGGACCCTGCTACACTCTGAGCATGCACTTCTTTTGTTGTACTTTCCATTACTGTGACAGTATCCTTCCTGATATCAGGGGGCAGCAGCTCTTTGAAATTTCAAATGAACTGATTACAATGTATCACTTTATTTCAGGCTAGGATATAAACGTATCATGTCTCCTTGTATCATATCATATATCCTTGAAACCTCATAATTTCAAGATGGAAAACCCTATTCAATATTAATAATTATGTACTAAATTAACACTAATAACTGTTACAAATGGAAGTAATTATACTTCTATCAACAAAGAGCCAAAGACTATGCATTTTATTACTTTGCTTTCTTCTCCCTGTCTCAATCTTCCAGGACTTGGAGGAACCGAAGGCCGCTTTTTGCCTTTTTCCTGTTGGAATAGTTCCTGCAACCTAGCAAAAAGGCAAAAAACAAAACAAAAAAAAACAATGTATACAAATTTCTCTTTATAACTGTGAAATCACCATAATTAAATTTTCCTATATGGATATATTTTAAAGTTGTATACAACTAGAACCAAGTTCTTGTCATATCTAATCAACTAATCAAGAGCTCTAATAGACTATAACTTTAAAAGAATAGCAAGTTATTATAAACAAAACTATTTCTAAAAATAAATATTAAATTATGATTTAAGATAAACAATATAAGGGCCAGGGATGTAGTTCAGTGGTGCCATGCCTGCCTGGCAAGTGCATGAGCCTGAGTTTGAGTCCTAAGTTTGGAATAAAAAAGATAAACAAAATTCCTGCCTAACCAAAGTAATTATCAGTCATGGCCTACTAATTCAGCTCAATTTCATTCAGCAACACACACATTTCACACAGCACTGAAAGTTGTTCCATTTTGGCTTTTATAACTTCATAAAGATTAGTACATATATTTTAAAGGATGAAGAGGAGGGAAAAGTGATAAAAATTTCTTTATAACTTGAGAATAAAATGAAACGTCTACAACTAATATTAACTTTTAAATTTAAAAATATCAGGGCACAGCAAATTTGGCACTAATAATAAGAAAAAACAAACTGCAAAGTCATACCTGTTATTCCAAGCTTGCAGCACTTCACAGAGACTTTGTTTCTTGGCAATAAGTGACTCAAAGATGGACTGCAGTTGCTGAGGGGTATCAACAGAGGATGACATGAGCCTCGCTTGCATCTTTTCAATCCAGGTCTTGAACTCAACTTCTTCCATCTAGAAGGAAAAGATAAAATTTCAGTACACTGAGACATTATATAGGTCTACCCCAAAAGAAACTTTTAATAGTTAACTTTAGAAGTTCTACAAGAGAAATGTTACCTCTTTCTGTGCAAAGATATCTTCCATTTTTTCCTCTCTGGTTTTACTAAATGTATCAGTCTTCAAAGATGCAAGTCTTTCATCAACAGCTAAATATACCTGTGAAACTCTGAAAAAGAGGGAACATCTTTAGAGAAGGTGAAATCAAATTTTGTTTTACACAAATAAAAAAAGATGTTATATACAAAACTATAACTGCAATATACTCTAATTAAAAATCACATATAATTTTACAGAGCAAAAAAGACCTAAAAAGGACATACTTCAAAATTTTAACAGTGATTTGTTATGTCTGAAAGTTTGACCTTGTTTAATACTTTCCTATTTGTCTGCATTTTTCCTTTTTCACATAAGTCATATATATGATACAGTTAAAAGAATTAAGTTATTTGCCTTTTCAAAGACAGTTAAATGAACAAGCTTTTAAAAACATCTACAGATTATAGACATTATTAGACAAAAACATATGATCAAAGAAACAAACTTACTTTTGAAAGAAGTCCTTGAGATCCTGAAGAAGGGATACTTTCAATGGGGTCTGACGTTTAATGAATATTTTGGGGAGCGGAACACATACTTCAAGAAGCCGAATGGGAGAATAACTATAAGAAGAAAATATAAGTAATGGCAGAAAAATGAAAAACTATTTTAAAACCTTGAGTAGAGGTTTTTTATCCAGATGGTCAACTAAATCCTATGAGGCATAAGAAGAAAATAAAGTTTCTATAAACTTTATAGCATTTTTAAACAATCCTAAGAGCACTGAAGGTAACTTTCAATCATTGTAAGTATCTTCTCCAATTCTGATAAAACTGTTTTAACATAGCAAAGTCCTGAGGAGCCTTCGTAAGTTTTTATTTCTTTTCCACCTGAGGTACTGACTAGTATGTACTACACTGTATCTATCTCCTAGATTCATGGTTAAAAGCTATTCCTTAAGGAAAGAAGTACTAATAAGCAAATATTTCCCAAGAATCTATTATATGCCAGGCACAATTTTAGGTGAAGACATAGCACTAAAGCAAGGGCCAAAATTCCTTTCCTCATGATCCAAGCATAAAAATATTGGGTAATAAAACAAGGAAAAAAATATTTGGTAATAATATTTAAAACATTTTAGATGGTCTAAGTGCTATGGAGAAAAACAAATCAAGAAAGAGAAGTACTGCTAGGCCTAACACAGTGTTGGGACAGGTAAAATGTGAGCAAAGAACCTCAAGAAGGAAAAGAGCAAGCAGATACCTAGGGAGTGAGTGGTCTAGAGAAGAACAACTGGAAGCTTCCAAGGCAGGAAACCAACCTGACACAGCTGAGGCCCTGAGGAGCAAGCAAGGCTGCAGCAGGGTGAGCAAAAGGAGTCATAGGAAGCCCTACTGTGTGGGCACTGTGGGCCAGGTAAAGGACTCTGGCTTTCACTCAGAGAAAAGCAGACCCTTTGGCATATCTACAGACACTCAGTGACTGAACTGATTTTCCTCTCACAGGTTCATTCTGACTGCTGTTCTGAACAAAGGTAGCAGGGGAAGGCCAAAAGAAGACTGGCTGAGGCTACTGTAGTAACATAGGGAAAACAAGAGCGTTAGTCCACAATGCTAATGTTGAGGACCATGAAAAGTGTTCAAATTCTACACATATTCTAAAGGTAGAGCCTGGAGCTTTCTCGCATTATTTAATGCTACAATGGCGACTATTCTTTGAACTTGTAATTTTAGTTTTGCCAGAAGTATTTGATTATTTTTATGGCAGTTAATGCCTTATCAAAACTTCTGACAGATTTTCTGATGCCAAAACAGTAACTAAGATTGAGGCCAAAACAGTTTGTAATACCTATATCTTGGAAACAGCCCAAATGCTCATCAACCAATGAATGGAAAAAGATGGTGGGGGCAGTTTATACAATGGAGTATTACTCTGCCATAGAAAGATAAGCCTGAGACATTTCTAGCTAAATGGATACACCTTGAGAACATACTCTTAAGTGAAGTAAATCAGACAGACATGTTCAAAAACTATACTGTTTCTCTGGTATGAGAAATCAAAGCGGTAAATAGGACCAAAATATATAATAGATACTGGGAAATGGGAAGAAAATGTTCAAAAGAGAAGGGGAACAAAGGAGGGGGCAGGGGGAAAGGAAAGAAGGGACAAAAAGAGAATAGAAGGAAAAAATGGAAACAAAGATTTTATAAATAAGGAGGGGAAGGAGGGGTCAAAGAAAGAGGGGAAATAGGATAAAAAGAAGCAAAATATATCCTGCGCAGGTACATATTCCCTATGATGAATATGATCATTATGTATATTTAAAATACAACAGTAAATGTTTTGCTTAAAAACAAAAAAAGATTGAGGTCAAGTAAATCAACCAGGGTTCAAATCTTGACTCCACCACTAGCTAGCACTATAAGTAAACTCACAATACTATTAACCTCATTTAGAAAGTCTATAAAGCCTCTAAGCAAGGATAACAGTAATACCTACTTCTGAGAATATAAAGTAAGTAACACTGAAAGCTCTCAGCAGAAGCAGCACTCACATTTGCAAGAGTGAGACAGGGAAAGATGGGTGCTCCTGAGTTAATTCAATCTAGCCACAGTAAACACATTACAAAGCCTCCAAGGGATGTGACAATGTACAGGATCCCTTTGGTGCCTTACCTGAAAGATGCTACCATCTGGTTATAAGAGAAATACTGGTGGTAATCGTGGTGGATGGAGTGACCACATGGCTCAGCATTGGCTCTCCGTGTGTACTGATGCCCATAAAACCTCAATTCAAGGTACTTTGCAAATGACATTGACCAGGATTCATTGGAAAGAGCAACCACAGGTGTTACCTGGAATTGGCAAAAGTAATTTATCTAATTACATATGATTTTTAAAATGTATTTTCTAATCCAAACTTAATACATTCTTATTGCAGTAAACAGAAAAAAAAGTCCAAAGGTAGGTAGGTGGGAGCTGGGGGCAGTGAGAGAGAATAATATCAGTAATAGACCTACCACCAACATAAAAATACCTATAAATGTTTAGTTTCTTTCTATTTAGAAATACACATGCACACATAGCCAGTGTATTTGTAAATAAAACTCTTTTCATAGGTACCTTTGCAATCTTTTATTCTATACATAGCAAATATAACATGAAGATTTTCCCATACAAAATATTCTTTACAACTTTTTTATTTTTTGTTACCAGGGATTGAACTTGGGTCCTTGTGCTTGGGAAGTAGGCACTGGAACCACTGAGCTAAATCCCTAGCCCACTTTACAACTTTTTAAATGGCTGCAGGACATCCTAATATATGTACATATATTAAACAACTCCTTACTGATGTATCTTTCAGAAAGTATAATTTTTTCCTTAATTAGATGATGCTGTGATGAACATCCTTGTACATTCATACCAGAAAATGGCCATAATTATTTCCTCAGAATAAATGAACAGAAGTTGGAATTGACTAATCAAAGAGCATGAACATATAGATGGTCTTTGATACTTTCTGGCACTCTGGCTTCCAGAACAGGTGTGATGATTTTACACAACATCAACAGTACTTAAGAAGGTCAATTTCCCTCCTTTCTTATCGATCCTGAAAATTTGAAATGTTTTTCTTAAAAATGTATTTTAAGACCTTAATAATATTTGACTTTATTTCTATTTTGACTACTAATAAATTTGCACATTTACAAGCCATTTGAATGAAATTGTTTTGTCATGCCTTTTGTTTATTTTTTCTGTGACTATACCATGGTTTATGAAAATTTAATATAAAGTATAGAATATTTGTTTGGTCATACAATTTGTTAACTTTTCTTTCACAAGAAGTTTTTTTATAACAAAACTATCTTTTCCTTTCTAGTATTCTCCAAAGCAGGTTTTGTTTTAAAAATAAAGTACATATACAAAATCTTACAAGACATAAAGATTAAATTTAAGTTATTCATTCAGTGCAAAGGTCAACCTACAGACTTCGCAACAAAATGCTATCAGCTATTTAATGAAACCTAAAGGCCTGTAAAAATAAGTATGAAAGGCTGAAAATGGCTAGAAATAATTTAAGTCTGGTATGTTTGGGACTTCAGGAGGAACTAATTTTGCCTTTAACATTCTCAATTACTAATATTAATACAAATCATAATATTACCTGTAATTCTCATATAAGCCTTTGAAAAGCACTCTTAAAATGCCAAGACAACAAAGAAGTCACAGCAATGTGGATAAAAATTATCTATTAAAAATATAATATTGGTACCAAATATTATCCCAGAGTAACAAAAGAAAGGCATACAGAAGAAATAGAACACATGCCTTTTTCTCAAACATGTACATGAAAACCAGTAGAAATCATTTCAACATGGTGTCATCTATATATCTTCAGATAGAAATCTTGATATAGGCTCAAATCTATTAAACAAATGCCCTAATACACTGTAATTACAGCTTTGTAAATACATCTCCTTCCCTGGAGGACAGATGCCAGTCTTCATCTCTTTTACACCCCAGCACAGTACCTGGCACATAGACAGTGCTAAATAAACTGGGTATTTATTAAATGAATAAAAAAACATAGTTGAGAATTGTCTCAAACTCAATATATTATACTGGACAGGTTCCTATAGTTTATTTCATGACTGATATAACCCTAAAGTGAAATTATCAAAAATTAAAGATTAGACTGAACATACAACATAGGAAGATAGATAAGAACCTAATGATAATAACAAATTCCAAAATAATACAAGTCACCCAATCCCGAAAAAGGAGCTATACAAATAAAGAAATAAATTTCATTGGCAATATTATGCCCTGTTGCAGGGTGTATTTACCTGTTTGCAGATTCTGCACCAGGAATATGTAAGAATAGTATGTTGGTATCCAGGCACTGGAGAATCCAACTCCTTCAGGATGATCTGCACACAGCCTTGTCCGTGGACAAAGCGACGAATGTGATGCACCATGGGGGTGTCACAGAACATGCTAGGACACTGATAAGAAGGCCTTTGACAAACAAGAGAGCTCTTCTCACATTAAGTATGAAGCAGAAAAGCATGAAGAATGAACACAGTGGTCCCTGGTTCACAAACTTGATTCTTTCCACAATTCTGGTCACAAACCAAACTGGACATGAACTGAGTCAAATTTAATGGTTAGGTTTAATATTGACCTGATGGGGAAATCAGATTCAGCTCTCATCTAATTTGGTTTGTGACCAGAATTATGGGAAGAATTGAGTTCATGAACCAAGGTACCACCGTGCTGATCAGAACCACTGCCAAAGAAGTGATAACTGTAGTTTGTACTTGTACATGTACGTGATGATTGGTGGACAGTCTGCACAGGGACTCATGCTGCTCCAAGCTACACAAAAACATCATGTCTCCAGCTACAGCATGATGACTGTTTCCAACTGTTAAGTGGCTTAAATGGCCAATTTTAAAACATGTCATTTTACCATTAAAAACTTCTTAGGGATTGTTATTGTCTATCAAGGAAAATGATAAAGATTAAATTACTAGCTCTTTGTCATGTAGTTGGTGAATGATAGCACTAAGACTTAAACGAAGGTCTCCTGATTTAAATCACTGTAAAAACACACATCCTGAAATAGTCTTAGAGATGACAGGTAAGGAGATGGGCAAATACATGAAGAATGTACCAGATTAAACATTCCAGTTTGAGCATGAAATAGATTTTCTTTGTAAACTATATTCTGATATGTGATAGAAAGGTAAGAACCACACAACCAAATTTGACATCCAACTGATGTTTACATTTTAAGTTGAAATTCCAGGCTTCAAAAATTTATAATGGAACAGAAAGGGGAAAAGTAATTCTTACCTGAAACAGTATCTTTCTAAAAATATTCCTAATGTAAGATCATTCTTTCCATAAAATTCCATTGTTACAATCCTAAAAGAAGAGATTATTGCTTAAAACATATTGTAAGAATTACTACTCTGCAAAAACACTTCATGAGACTACATATTCTGGTAATTAAATGTGCTTATCATAAAGCATTGAAGCTGGTAATACTTGTTGTCTCAGAATCGGTTTTGCATCATCTTGTTTAGATCAGCCACATTATAGCATCTCTTTCTCTCCCAGTCCATTAGTATCTTATGAACTATTTGATGAGGATGCATATACACTATAATATTAATGGAGTAAAGCTCATCTGCATTATGAACAAGTACAAGTTCCCTTAAAAGCCTTAAACTCTTCAACATATAGGACTTTTGTTTTCTGCTGTTTAATCCATACTTCTACTGAGGACAGAGAAAAGCCACCCTTATTTTCGTTAATGAGCCAAGTCCCAATTTTATATTCAATTTACAAATACCCCCAAATAAGAAAGTCTGGCTACATACATCTTGAAAAGCACATCTCTTCAAGCTTTGTCCTGAGGAGCCCATAAATGCCCAGAGAAAATCTGTATGAGTTTCCCCAGCCCCAGGCTTACTTGCTGAGCTATCCAATTTCTAAGAATCCCTGATCTCACTGCTGAAAATAAGTGTTCTGTCATGGAAACAGCACTATAAAAAGTAATTAGGTTCTATACCGTGTGTGTGTGTGTGTGTGTGTGTGTGTGTGGTGCTAGAGATTGAACTCTGAGTCTGACAAGTGTTAAGCACATACTCTACAACCGTTACATTCCCAGCCTCTCCACTGCGCTTTCTAAACTAAAGGTAAACTACATAATAATGTAAACATAAGATTTTTGTGATTATTAATTGGGATAGTAATTTATAACAGTATAAAATGTGTTTATATTTATACCAATCAAATTAACCACTTACTAGTCCAATTATTTAAATACAGGATGACAATTTTTGTTAATTTTTATAGTTATATTTTCATAATATAATTATAAGATAATATAACAGGAAATATAAAAATGACAATCTTATCAAGTTTACTCAATATAAGAATCAACTGGTTGAAATGACACCGACCCAAGCGATGCTCAGACAGTTGGACACTGTCCAAGTAACCATTGGGGTAAACTGTTACATGGTTAGGTTTAAATTTTTGAGCAAAACCCATTAACAAGGCAAAAGGCTGGACTGGGGTATAGCTCAGTGGTAGAATACATGTTTAGCCTGAGCAAGGGTTCCATCTCCAACACCAAAAAACATAGCTAAAAAGCTGACTACTTTTACAAAAATGATACCTTTAGGAAAACCTGCTTAAACTGTACATGCTAAAATCATAATACCTATAAACCAGCTCTTGCATATCATTTTTCTCACTTTTTATTAGTGTATGTTTGTGATACACAATTATATTCATCTTGGGAAATTGGTACATATATATTACATTTTGATCATTTTTACTCCCCTTTCCCCTCCTCTCTCACTTCTTCAGATCTTCCCATCTCCACAGTCTGTTTCTTGCAATCTTTTTCATTTGGCTCTTTATTTATATTTTTTATTTCTCATATAAGAGAAAATATGTGGTATTTAACCTTTCGTGTTAGATTTATTTCACTAAGCATTATGGTCCCAAGATCCATCACTTTTACAAATAATTCAAACATATCCTTCTTTATGACTGAGTAGTACTCCACTGGTATACATACCACATTTTCTTTATTTATTTTTTATCTTATAGGGTATTTCGATAATTATGCTACTGTGAATTTTGCTGCTATAAATAGTAACGCATGCATAACTATAACAAGATTTTAACACTTTCAGGAAAATATTCAGGAAAGGTATAGTAGCTGAGTCAAATGGGACTTCTGTTTTTAGTTTTTTGAGAAATCATCCCACTGAATGCCACAGTGGCTTCCAAACAACAATGTAAAGGATTCTTTTTTCCCCCACCTTCTCAGAATTTGTTTTATGACTGCTTGATGATAGCCATTCTTATTGAAATAAGATTGTTTTGATATGCACTTCTCTAACTGCAAAAGATGCTGAACATTTTTAAGTGGACTTACTGGCAATTTGAACTTTGAGTGAGAAGTGTCTGTTCATGTCAACTGTCCATTTTTTACTGGGTCTTTTATTTTGCAGGGGTCTAATTTTTTTTAGTTCTTTATATATTCTAAGTATTAATCTTTTATTCCAGGAGTAGCTGACACACAAAAAAATTCCCCATTCTGTAGGCTGTCTCTTTACTATTGGTTATAATTCCATTTATTTATTCTTGCTATTATTTCTTGTGCTATTAGGGATATACTCAGAAAGTCCTTGTCTGTCCGTATGTCTTCAAGAGTTTTACCTATGTTATCTTCTAGCAGATGCAAGTGTTCGTGCTGTCATTTCTAGGTCTTTGGTCCATTCTGATTTTGTTTTAGTACAGGGTGAGAGATATATATGTAGATTCATTCCTCTGAACATGGAGAAAGTACCATTTGTTAAAGAGGCTATTTTTTCTCCAGCATGTTTTATCATACCTTTGTCAAAAATCAGATGGCTGAAGGGGCACAGGGTTGTTTCTGCATCCTCAGTTCTACTCCACTAGTCAACAAGTTTATCTATGTGCTTGCTAGGCTGGTACTGACTGTAAGAGTCTGGTTGCCGCGCTGTACTCAGCTTCTTCCTTTGGGATATGAGACTCTTTCTCAAGATGTGTATTCATCAGACCTGGGCTGTTAAGCAGTGCCAGGATCAAGGACTGGCCCTGATTCTTTCTCTAAACACTCCTGATACTGGGATTCATCAGGTAGGCCTCTCCTTCAAGTTTTCTTCCTGTGTTTTGGTTTTTTGTTTACCACCCCACCCCATTTCTGAGTACCTGAAGGTCTCATGAGCACTACTGCATCACTTTTACAAGTATAAATTCCTATGTCACCCTTCCTACTATTTTCACCCTTAAGGCACAAATTTCCTATTAACCTTATAAGTTTAAACATTCTATTGATTCATACATGGCTAGCAGTACCTAAAAATAGATCCTATTAGCTGCATTTCCTTTTTTGTTTAAATTTTCTATTAAGTCTGTTCACAAGAGCGATAGGGTAGGGAGAAAAGAATCCTACCAAGGACTGACACAGGCACTGGGGGCATTGCTGGACTGGGCAGAAGAGCTGCTGAAGAGCACACACAGCCGCTGGTGGTTAGCAGGATTCAGACAGTCCACCTGAAGGAGAAGGGACACATAAGGACCTGGACGTGAATGCACTGCAACACCACCACAAGCTTCTAGCATCCAACATGTTCCACTCTATTGGTACAGCCTCCTAGCATCACTTGCAGGAGTGTCACAAATTAAATTTGCAGATTTTAAACTGGTGAAGATTAAAACTACAAGAAACTAAATATAAAAAGGGAAGTTAGTTTTTGAGGAAAGAAAAATCTCAAAAGTCCAAGTTAACTGTAAAAAAAGATGGGCCTACCTCCAGTGGTATGTGTAGAATATTTGAGCCCTAGGTTCAATCCTTATAGCCTGTTTTCTTGCATTAAATATTCTTTATTTTTTTAAACAGAATTAAATTATTTTGGAAGAAAAACTTAACTAAATATATCCCCATGAAGCAGTGTGATACAATGGCTGGATATAACATCAATCTGAGACACCCAGAAATCAAAATTCTAAGGTATTCATATACCTGTGCTTTGCACCTAGTTTTGATCCCTACAAAGGTAACACCAAATCTCTGTTAAAATTCATATATTAGTACATGAAGACCCTTTGATGCTACACCACCTCAATACAACTAGCTTTACGGTCTTTAAAAATCCATTCTTTTTGCTAGATCTCACATACACAAGCACCCACATAAGTACACTCGGTTAACTCCGGTTTTGTAAAAATGGAATGACACCACCTATATTAATACAGAACTTGTTTTTAATACTTAAAATACATTACGATCTTTCTCCAGGTCATTAAATGAAATCCAACTCATCTCTTTTACAGCAAACAACTGGATACAATGCATCCTCATGCATATATTCCTACAAAATGCAAACACCTTATACAAACATGTTTCACTGGTTTAATTCTGTAGGAACACATTACAAAGAGCAGTAGTTCCAGTTTAAAGGCATAAAACTATATGTGTAAATCAAGAAATTTCCCTATCAATTTCTATACATTTATACAAATGTATATAAAATTTAGGAAAAAAGGTTACCTTCCTTTTTGCCAGTCTTATATATTAAAAAAAACAACAATAACAAAAACATTTCTTTGAATACCAGTGAAACTGAATGACTTTTTTGTTTTATTAAACAATTACATTTCCTCAACTAAAGACAAATTTCCGCATCAGTTTTATTAGTAGCATTATCAATAATGTGTTCATAAACAAATCTTCCTTAATTGCCCTTATTTCTAACAAGAACACTGTCAGTTAAATAACAATATTCATAAAGTTTTTGTTTTATGTTTAAAATTTTATAAGTAAATCTAACACTTTTTTAAAACCACATCCATTTTCTACAATAACCTTCCATCTCTCCTTGTCACTGCTTCAAAACGATCGTGGATGCTCAAGGCACATCTAAACATCTAAAGCATACCAACTTCAAGCAGCAATCACTTCTTACAGAAGGGCTCCTTTTACCTCACTGTGAGCTCATCTTATACCCTAAAACCCAGTTTCAGAACTTTACAACTCCATCTGACTACTTCAAATACATAAGCCAGGAGACTAAAGACAAAAAAAAAAGTATAGAAGATGAAATATTTAGTACATGTGCATGCAGCTTGGTATATTGTTTTTGGTTTTTTTTTTCTTTTGCACCATCATAGCAGAGTTTTTCAAACATTCTAAGTTTAATGAAAAGTGGAAAGTGGATTGGGTTTACCTTTGTTGACCATACTGCATCACTGGGAATCAACCCTCTCTCTTCATTAGCCTCAGTTTTGCTTCCTGATTTACCACTTGCAGTATTCGATGCATCCTTTGAGTGAGTAAATGGGTCTGAATATCTGGACTGAATTCTTCCTCCTCGGGCTCGATAATCAGCCAGCATTCTTCCCAAGCTCTGGCTGTCACCCAGATGCTCTGCGATCCTAGTGCTAACTAGTTCATGTGAGGGTAAGACTTGAATAGACTTGGCCTGAATACTTCCATTCATGCCCTGAAGTCCAGAGAGATCCCTAAGCAGCTGCTTCTTCCTCCTGCTCTCTATTTCTCTGAACTCTTTATTAAGGAGGGGAGACCAGTAAATCTGCTCTGGAAAATAGTCTCGGGTGGAGCATCTCATCCCCTTTTCAGTTAAAAGGAAAGGTTCCCGGAATGTGATTACTGGGGAGATGCAGAGGATCACATCTTTTAATTCTTGTTTAAAGGCCAAAGAATAAGTCTTTCGCTTATCTTCAGAGGTGGTGACTTCCTCAGTCACATATAATCCAGTGTCATCCTGTAGAGGGTCTCTAAAAGCTCTCATTTGGCTTTTGGTGTCCTGTTGCTCTTCTGTTTGCTCCAAAGGCTCTAGGTGCTCACTGCCTACAGCATCTTGTTGATCCACATGGAGTGGCAACAATGACTCTGGTACTTCTTGGAAGAGAGCACAGGGGATACCGGCCGGGCAAGCTGTTGTGGCATACTCTTGATGCTTCAAAGAGGCAGCAGCCTGTGGAATGCTTTTAGTTTCCTGCTCATTCTTCTCAAATACAATCCGTGATTCCATCAAAGTGCTCTCTTCAGAGGTCAGTGCCTCAGGAGGGCAGTCAGGATCCCGGGGAAGGGAGCTCCCACTGTACTGCTCTTGTACAGTCCCCTCATCCCCCCGTCCTTCAATCAGAGAATGGAATGAAGGGCTCTGCATTAACATGGGAGGCATAGCAAATTCATCCATGAGGAAGGAGATTTCTAGCTGAGAATGATAAGCTACACAGATCATAAATATCAGGATCTCCTTAACTCGAGCCAGCTCATAATCATAGCCTCCTCTGAGCTTGATGGTACAGCCTAGATGCTGGGGACAACCTTCAAAAAACATCAGTGTTTTGATTTGTTCTACAAACAAACAAACAAAAAGTTAAGAAGCCTTATATTTATTGTAAGGTAACGATTCAAAAGTCCAGATACCAGTAATCTACAAAAAAAAATTCTTTAGGGTATAAGACCACAATTTCTATCCTCACTTAACCACTACTAATAGACATTTCCTACTAAATGAATTTTACAGAACTAAGGAGTTAATTCATTTCCTGAGATTCTCTAATCACTAGTGAACCCATGTTAAAGAACACTCACCATTAGGTAGCTGAAATATTTGCATATAAAATTTGTGACAAGTGCCCAGGTGTGGTTTTGTGAGCAGCTGATCCATTGACATCACTAAGTCACCTTGGGTCATTCGACTGATTCGTTCTAAAACTTGCTACAACAAAGGAAAATATAAAATAAAAATGTTACTAAATTTAATCTAGAAAAATGAGAAAATAAAATAATTTCCTTAGTTTTAATAATATGATAATTTTTTAACTTTTAGATAAGTTGACAGCTAAGTAATCAGTATGTGCTCACTAAAATAAAATCACACTCACACTAACATTATCAAAAGGCATTTGAACATCATGTATTATCAAAATACTGTGGGGGAGATTCCAAGAATTAGTCTTTATTCTGCAAAAAGCAGGTTTTTCAAGGAGAGAATATTTTTCTGCTTATAAAATTTTCCAACAAAATGAAGAATCAACAAATACCTGCTGATTACTTAATGTCCAGTCGACCTTTGGTCTTACAGACAACTATAATAAGCATTATATAAACATTCAACACTTTGTTCCAGTCTGAGATTCTCCAGTCTTCATAATGAAAAAGCTACTATGCCTTCTTGCTCCACTATCAATATATATGACATAGCAGAGAAATATATATATATA